TATCAACATATTGGAGGAGAAACGTTTGAGAAACCAAATTTTCGTCTATTTTCCGTGTAAAATTAAGAGACTGAGTGGAAAAAAGTACTGAGGGCTGAAATCCTGTAATCCGTTCAATTTGTCTTAATGGCGTAACAACTCATTTTTTTCGCTGATGGTGTATCTTAAACATTCACTGTGCACGTCTCATTGTTCAAACATTTCCATTCTGACTAAAACACCTCGTATCTTCTTTATGTAGGTGTTGCTTCATCATGTCGTCTCTCATCTTGACTCGAACTAACTGATGTGGCTTGCCATTGCTTTCCCTAAACGTTAGTATTAGTATCGAAGCAACGAATTTCAGCTGAAGTGAATTTCTGCTGTTTTTTTTCCTTCGTAAGTCACGGATTTTCTTTGTATGAGGAATTTCCAGCCCACTACTTTCGATTCGACGTAGTATTTTCCACGTTGCGAATAAGGGGCTACAAGGGCTCCTATAACAACCTTGCAATAGTTCTCAGGCGAACAGGTGATCGGCTCTTTATGTGTGTGAATTCATGAGATGAGTTCAAATATCTGTGCCTTCAATGGATTCGAACATTCCGTATAGACACAAGCGTAATTTTTGAGAATAGATAGATAGATAATCTCTAAAGATAAAGAATAAAGTATAAAGTAGTATAAAGAATAAAGTTAGGTAAACATTGGCAAATAAACCTTTAAGCGTCGATCAATTTCTGAGTTATACGTCATGCATTCAAATAGAATCACTGGAGGGGATTGACGGCGTAATTGATTAGTACAATGATCTGCGGTGGTCAGGCCATGTATCAAGTCAGTGCTGCCATCCTCCTAGGTAAGTCTTGTTCCTGTTTTCCGACACCAGAGGAAAGTTAGGCTTGTTTTGCACAGAACATGTAACCTGACCAACAACCGTGCTTCTACTGCTGTGCGCCTCTAACCACTTGGTTTTATGGGCCTCTTTGTTGAATGCGTGTGTGTGAATATGCCTACATAGATGCTTCATGTTGATTCAACTGGTAATCTGTAGTCATTTTCTTGTTCAGCAATCGCGAGGTTGTTAAACAGCATACATTTATTTCCATAGAAAAACACAATACAATACAACGCTAGCTGACGTTTCGGCAGAATCGCCTTCTTCAGAGCCTGGAAGTGTATACTGATATGCAATCTACTAGGCCAAACGCTTCAATGCCACTTACAAAAAGACGAAAAACTATGGATGCCACATCAGAAATTGATGCGAACATACGGGTTCAGGTTGCTTATGACCTCTGGGCATTAATCCCTGCTATTCATTGTAGGGTTTTTGGCATTTATCCAAAAAGCCTCAAGAAGTTTTCGCGCTGGTGTTTTAGTCTCCTGTGCAGGGATATTGACTTTTTACTTCAAAATCGTCTCCATGATGCTTTTGTATTCTGAGCGTGCCTAGTGGGGTAGTTTGTCTTGAGTCATCAACCATATGCGACTATAACCAGCTATTCTATTCTTCCACATTGGAAATCACGTAAAAGCGGCCCTGAAGAAGGCGATACTGCCGAAACGTCAGCTACTGCTGTATTGTACTGTGTGTCTTTCTATGGAAGTAAATGTATGCTGTTTAAAAACCTCGCGATTGCTGAACACGGAAACGACGCATTCATATTCCAATGCTGAAGTTAATAGAAAGTTGATCCTGGGAATCTGTAGTCTTTTGGTCGGAAGGTTTACGGGAGAAAGATGTGAATCACTTTTAGCCAACAATCTTCACATGTTGTCCGTGAAAGCGGAGAATACGGCCTGCGAATATGAGCTATTGCTCATAGCGCCAAGCGAACTGCTTGTTTCAAAACCGGCTTTCCTTTAACATGGATATGAATAATCAATATGTATTTCTTCTTTGAAAGGCTTCCACGAATCTCGGTATGACTAATCAATATGCATTGGTAATCTTACACTAGGTTGACAAATAATCTCTATGCGGCCAATGTTTCGACGTCGTGGTCTCGTCGAGAAGACGAACAGACGGACCACCGACACGAATCGTCGACTGTGATGAAGTCGAAAACGTTGAAACATCAAGCAGATAAAGATGATTTATCAACCCCGTGTAACCTTAGAAGTAATACCTGCTTGCAAACTCTGACGGCTTATGTCGTAAACTGTAACGGAAAAACAACCGATGAAACGAGTATTGTCACTAACCGATGCGTACGACTTCCAGAATCGGGAGATGTCGACATCAAGACTGTTGCTATAAATCATCATAGCAAATACTGTGTGGTACTTGATGGAATAATCCGGTAGATTTTCTGAGCGAAACAACTGCAATTGGTTTATTACACAATGTGTGGTGTTTTTTGACGTTTTCTCAAGAACATCTTCATGCTCTTTTCTAGATTTGCTCAAATTTTATCGAAAACATCTTTTTATGTTTTCAAATTGTCGCCTCTCGTCAACTGTATTTCTTTGGTGTTGTACAGTATTGGTGGACTAAATCCAACGAACAAGTACTGTTCGATCGGTTTCCTCCCTTATTTTTTCTCTTCTTTTTCATTATCTTGGTTTTCTAGCTCTGCACCTCATCGATTTATATTTTTAACTACTTTAAGTGTCGTAGGTATAGTGACTGCTTCAATAAAATACCAGTGACGTTTTATCACAGTATTATGACTGTAGATATCACTATTGCAATGCTGAGATATTTGCAAAACTCCGGACCGCAGGTGTCTGCGGTGGGGAACGAACGCGCTATTGTCATTTCCGGAGAGTAACGTGTTCACCGCCACACCATGCGGGTCCTTCGTTTCGCCTGTCTCTCAGCTAGTTCTATCGATCTTTTGCCATCAGCAATCACCCGTCAACGGGACTGATCTGGAGAGCCCAAGTCGGCAATGAAACCAGTTAAGCTGAGGCTATAGTTATAATCACAATCTTAACCTTTTTATTTACTGCCTATTCTTTTTAGGGCGAAACGAAGGACCAGCATGGTGTTGTGGTGAACGCGTTACTCACCGGAAAGGGCAATAGCGCGTTCGTTCCCCACCGTAGGCACCTGCGGTCCGGAGTTTTGCAAATATCTCAGCATTACAATAGTTATGTTTCGCAAAATACCCTGCCGTTAAAAAGAATAGGCAGTAAATAAAAAGGTTAAGGCTGTAGATATCATTTGTAAACTCACCAGTTTCGGATGACTGAAGCAGTAACAGACCTTTATTTGCCTAATTTGTACGCTTATGTTGCTTCGAGAATTGTGATCATTTGGCAAACACAAAAGGCACGACATTATTGTTATTATAAACAGAAGTTTTCCTATTTTTAGAGGGGATACCAATGAATATATCTGTGGACTTATACGCGAATATCCTTGCCTTTATAAGAAAGCTATAAGCTAACGCACAGCAATGGGAACGGGAAACATCTCCTCAGTCCACTAGTGTATCCACTGTATTATGTACGTATTGTATCCGATTGCCAAAAACTGGTTTCAAGTTCGTCATTCATCGTAAAATGGGGATAGGTGTATCGGGTATATCGGGTGCGATGTACAACAACAGTGGAACTCATTCCCAACAAGGGGCACAATGGCTAGACGAACAAAACTTTGAAAAAAAATGGTAATTATACTGAGGCCCCCCACAGACAGCGAAGCTGGGCTATCCAGGTATCCAAGTTAGTAAGTCATAAGAAAATTAAGCTTAAAGCCACGAATTCTTTGTCGGTCACTTGAACAGTCGGACTTGCGTGGCCCGTCTTCAGGAACCACTACGAATCATGCGGCTTCTGGTTTAGTTGCTATTCCATGATAATATTGTTTGTACAAGAGTTCCTTTTTTTGGAGCTTCGAATATTTCTGAAGCCATATTAGTGTCCTCCGAGCTTGTCACCCAGTTTCCAGCTAGCCATAACATTGTTCCAGGATTGGGTGCTGGTTTGCTGTTAACTGGCTTTTCGGACGAAAATGGGGAATATTGCAGCTGAAGAAGTTCTGCTGATTGATGAACTCCAATACTTCTAAGAACACCTCTGCTTTAGCCATAAGTGGGCGCAATGGTGAGCCGTCGAACCCATGGGTGAGAGGAGGGTTTAGGTGGCACCGTTGAATTTTTAACGTGTAACTGTGTCTTCCACTAACCACTTACGACGTTGCCTCCAAGGATCTCTTGATAAATCACGGTCTTGGAGTATGAAGCTTATTTACTTTTATTTCGCTTTTGTTTCGCATTTGTCTCCTTGCTAATCCGAAGATACAAATTCATTTCTATATATTGATCAGTAAGTCTCATGCTTATGAAAAGAAAATCCAGAAAACCAAGTACTATTTATTGTGGATTTTTCTAAATTTCCTCGACTTTATCTTCTACAGTTCGTTAGAATTCTTGAGTAATCAAATCATGTTTTGAAGCGTGTCATAACTTAGCTTCATCATGAGTCATACACGTTGTCCTAGCTGCTTATGGCAATTCATAAATTTCTCTTCAATGGTTTCACTCCGGGCAGTTAGAGACATCTTTTCTATCATTACTCATTCTTGTCCAAAAGTTCATTTCCTCAATTAGTTGCTGTAGAAGTCCACTTTTTGGAACAAAATAGTAATGCCATAATATTATAGTAGAATATGGTTTTATAATATCAAAACCAATATCCATTACGACTTCTTGACTCCTCGCTGTAATCGTATTCATACTGTCTTGTGTATTCGGATTCCTAAGCTTACTTCCCTGCTGCATAGTTGGAATGGCCAGTTGTTCTTTCATCCATCGTCACCTACAGTCCACATTTTTAAATCTATTTAGTATTTCTCCACATCACTCTTCTAATTTTTGGGAACGCAGCTTCAACAGCACCATCTATGATAAGCCGTGTTTTTCTCTAGCTCATCTTATCGCAGTAGTATTACATAGCACGTTACATTATGATTTTTAGATAATTCCACCTTTCTTCTTGTTTGTTCGTTGAGTTTCTCTAATATAATCCTTTATTTCGTTCAAAGTATTACTACTTATTTCTGTTACAGTATGGTAGTCAGCCCACCTACTTCAGTGCTGCTACAAGCAATATTCTTAATTAGACAACCTCCACAAAGCTTAGCAGCCCGTGATCTGGTGTTCGTACAGGCCATATGGAGACACGGTGATCGTGCACCGCAATCCTTGCCCTATCCCAATGATCCTTACGATGAAACCGCATGGCAACGAGGATGGGGGCAGTTGACCAATGTGGGTTACCTTTCTCTCTTAAATTCTTTCTAAAACGTACCTTTAGGCTCTAGACATTTAAGCAGAATCTTTAAGTATTATACTACATCTTGGTACCGAAATGCATAAATTATATGATTTCTCATGAAAACATGGTCTTTTATGGACTTCCTTTCCACGTCCTTTAGCTGGACAGATAAAGCCACCAGTTCTTAGAGAGCTGCCATTTTTGCACCTTACAAATATTCATCTACAGTTCGGTGAAGTTATTTGAAATTTTGCATAAGTGCAGTCATATCGGTTCAAAAGTAAACGGATGAAATTTGATATAACTTCGAATTATTTCTAGAAACTGATGAATTTTAGATAGGTATGGAGCAAATGAACGAGCTCGGCATCTATTTTCGAACGAGATACGATTTCTTCATCTCGTCGCACTATGTACCAAGCGAGGTGTGGTTCAAGATAGCCATTTGGTTTAATGAAATTAAGACGAATTAGTTACTGCAGTGAATATTGAATAGTGTCGTTTGACTATTTCTGATGAGAAATGTAAATGAAAAAAAAGGTGGAATGAAATGAACTTAGGCTCTGTCAATGTCGTAACTTAAAATGGTTTTTTTGGACCCCCGTTCTCACTTGTTATATGGGCCCCAGCATAATCTCCATTTTTCGCAGTTTTGCTGGTTTAGCCTTTGTCTCTCCCTGGAGTCCCGAGGTCAGCCTGGCGAAAGTCTGCTCCAGGTCGACACCACTACAGGTAGTCGCCACCCTCGTGGATCATAGGAAGATATACCACCATACGAGTAATTTGATATCAGGACGTTCGTGGATCTTGGAATTGGTTTACTCTTAGCGGGGCTTCCTGGTGGGAACGCCGGATTCCTTCTAAGTTTGGCAGACCTTGCACGGGAAATGAATTCCCCCGCTGTTCATCGCAGGGCGACACCCAGAAGCAGCTCCCAGTCACGATGGGGCGGCAAACCATTGGGCGACTTTAAATGCTCACTTGTATTACCTATAGTCCCGTTGATCGTCGAGTGATACGAGTGGGCGCCAGTAAATCTTCCATTTTTCCCTGTCTTCTCTCTCTATGATCTTCTTTTATCGCCTGTCTGAATTGTTTTGCAAGTTCGGACGTTAGTTCGCGGTTCTCTGCCGTTCGTGCTATTCAACGCTGGCGTATCAGCTCGAGTGTTTCTGGCGACAGACGTCTCTTGCTGACTTTCGAACTCTCAGCATTCAGAGCACTAACGTGAAGATGTTGAATGAGCCGATCGTCGTCGATGTTATCGATAATGGCATTTTCCTAAGAGCCGACTAATGAATTGAATAAGTCCCAGTTCATGGTGGTTCTGGGACTTCGTTTTCTGAATTTAGCCGCTTTTTCTCCTTTCCGCGAGAAATACAACTTTACACGACGGAGACCATAGTCTGATCCCGTGTAGAATTTTGGGACAACAGTGACATCGATTAGCAAACCCTTCTATTTACTATGATGTGGTCTATTTCATTATGCTACTCTTCATTAGGAAACTTCCACGTGCAGCATTGAGGAATCTGCGAGTTACCATGAGTGGTCTTGGTCGTCATGACAAACTCTCAGAGCCGTCCACGCTGTTCGTTTCATTCCAATCCGTGGTTCTCAATGTGACGTCCTTCAAGCCTTCTTCTTGGTCCAATCTTGGCGTTAATATTTCCAATGATGACCTTGAAGAATGTATGGTCTTCTTTGTAGAACTCCTCCAAGTCCATATAGAACGCTTCGGCTTCTTCTTCGCCATAGTTTGATGTCGGCGCGTAAACGACGAAGATTGTTAAAACCGGAATTGGTCTATGTGTTTTTAATCGTAGACGTCCGATTCGGGTTGTAAGCTGTTCGAATGAATCGGTGTTCATGAACGAACTCATGTTGACTAGAACGTCGACTCCGCCGACTCCTCTACTGTCGCTTGTTCCGAGGAACTGTTCTTCTCCGGTGTCATAGACGGCATCGAAGGGCTGCTCTCTTGTCTTCTCGGCCAGGCCGATGACGTCGTACCTTATCCTTCTTGCTTGCATGAGCAATTCTTCTATCGAGGACGCGGATGCAAGTGTACGTGCATTGCAGGTACAGATCGTCACCATAGTTCTTTGAAATCCAGGCAGCTTTCATTGACCCTGAGATTTTAGCAGCCTTTCCGTACTCGCCCTAACGCTGAGAAATTGGGGGTTCTTTCGGAGTCAGGGGAATGAGGCCCGTTTTTTTTACTGTTTAGCATTTTTGATACCCACGTATAGCATGCTGGGCTCCGAACGTGGGGGTTGGGTATACTCACGGGTATGCTGCCAGGCTCTCCCAGAATTGATATGGAGCTTATTTGTTGGAAGTGACTCCTAACCGCCTCCTATATACTTCCCTGTCACTTGATTGCAGGCTTTTGGTCGAACTGACTCGTAGAATGCAATCCGCATAAACAAGAACGCACCCCAAAAGCATGCATGAATACGTCTTGCAAATACAGAAAGTATGTGCCAAATCAGCGCAGCAGAAGCAGAGAGTCCATCCTCTGGATCCACCTTCGTCTCGGGGAAGCGAAGGTCGCTTTTGGTCCGCTGTTAAACCCTATCTGCCACCTGGGGACGCGTCATGTAGCCTCGGAACTAACCGGCTCGAGATCCCTCATGTGAGAGAGGTCCGTGGACTTTAAATGATAATGCCTAAAAAGCTTTACTTTTCAAGAAATCGATTTCAACATTATTACCAGTATTCTTTTTGTTCTCTAAAAAATTTGATAGCTCGCTTTCATAAAATTTTCGATTATTCGATGTTTTTCTTCAATAAGCAGACACGAGGTTGTTATTATAGGATTTATTAGGATACAATAGCTGACGTTTAGGCTGTTTCGCCTTCTTCAGAGTCGTTTATTTGTTGTAAGTATTTAAGTTAGTTGATGGATGACAGCCGCACAGAGTAATACATGGGCGATAACACAGTTATCAGTTAACTCAGTTGTCGCCCGTGCATTACTCTGTGCGGCTGCTATCCATCAACTAACTTAAATACTTACAACAAATAAACGACTCTGAAGAAGTCGAAACCGCCGAGACGTCAGCTATTGTATCTTAATAAATCCTATAATAACAACCTCGTGTCTGCTTATTGAAGAAAAACATGGAATGACCGAAAATTTTATGAAAGTGAACTATCAAATTTTTTAGAGAACTAGCGTTTTTGCCATCCTGAATCCTGAAAACTGAGCGGTATAGAGCTTAACGTTGCAATACACTTTATGGGATCTAAAAAGTTCGAGAGACTTTTTGTGTTCGAAGGAAGCACAGAACTTGTTTTACACTTTGGCACGGATGTAGTTAGTTTATAGGTCTACATTCGATCGTCAGATTCAGATCGAGCGCTTTCCTCAGCACAGGCATTCCTAGCTGGATTCTATCCAGCGAGTGGCAGCTTTCAATGGCAGAGTGGAAATCATTGGCAACCTATAGCGGTTCATGCCACATCACCCGGTGAACCCGATCTGGTAAGTAGTGACAATAAATTTGGTGACCAGCCAAAGAGTACGTCTAGCAGACTATGAGCAAACATTGTTTGCTTACAAACATTTCCTCGTTACTCGATCACACTTCGAGAAAACTGCTTAAAATTTTTGTTCATATGTAGTCAACAATAATCAGCTACAGAGCGCAAACAGCCGAAAACCTGTGGTCAGCATAGTCACGTCAGAGTTAAACTTGGACGGCCCTTCATCACTGGTTGTGCCGGCTCCAGCATATTCTTCATTTTCGAAGTTTTTCTGGGTTAGCCACTATGTTTACCTGGAGTCCCGAGGTCAGCATGGCCAAAGTCTGCCCCTGGTCGTCACCACCACAGGCAGTCTCCGCCCTTGTGGTTTAGAAGGAGATTTGCCACCATGCGACTGATTTGGTACCTAGGCGGTGGTGGATCCTGGTATTGGTAACAGTCTTATTACGATGAAAAGATTCGGAAACCTCTGTGGCATCGAGCGCTCACATTAGGTCTACCCCACCAATGTGACAATAAAGATTTCATGGTGCAATATATGCTTATGCAGCAAGAAGTTTTCTATTACCACTGTTGCTTATGTTGGAATGGGTTCAAGTCCACTGTGAAGTTAACGGAACGCTTAATATTCGTATTCGTATTCGGATATCATTCGTATTCGTATGTTAAGCGAAATGCACGGTTGATTTTCAATATGTGTTTATACATAGACATCGAAACGTTAGCCGAAAATAAATATTTTTAGCAACCTTGTGTAGGCTTATCAAAGAAAGAATACATGTGTTTATCTTCGTATTTTTGTTGAGCAAACGCGAGGTGTTACTATTCTTTGTTAAAAAAAAACAAAAAAAATATTTTTTTTTATTCCCATGACCGACAAAAAATTGTCTTAGCTAGACAAACGATACTCTTCCTCCGCCGCTGCCTGAAACACCGAGTCGTGCCGAACTTCATCAAACGAAAACGACTACACGATGTGTGCGGCCTACCAAGGGACAGCCAACTAGTACTGGACATCGAAACGCGACTACTACGTGCCTCTCTTCGATACAAGCAGAACACCATGTACGCGCAATTGAAGAAATGC